TTCAAATTTTCTAAATCCATAATGATCAACCATGTTGAGAGGATACTCATATAGAATTATCATAATTGCTAGGTCCTTCCTCCCTCCTCTTGATCAAAATGATAAGTGTCTAATGTCACCTTTGACTTTGAATCCTCTTTTGGGGTAAATGCAAGCAACTTTTGTCCTACATCTTGATACTTTCGTCTTGGACAAATTTTATAATGATCATGCAAGTGCCTTGTCCTGTTTTTAGCACCGCCAGCTAGTTGTCTACGACAATAGTTACACTCAGCCTTACCCTTGCCATCAACTTTCACTTTCTTGAAATGTTGTCATACCACTGATCTAGATTTAGACCTTATACTATCCCAAGCATTGTCAAGGAGGCTCTGGAGAGGTGTTTTAGAACGATTATCTAAACGTGTTGGTTCATCAGTATCTAAATGCGTCAATTTTTTTGATGCCTCAAACTATTGATTGGAGGTCTCGTCTAAACTTTTTCGTTTAACAAGTAAAGGATTTTCAGTTAGACATGTTGAAACCTAAAAGAATGAACAAAAGTATTAATATCAATAATTAACAAAAATCCATGCTATATTAAAAATTAAAATAGCCCATTATTAAGTTCAAATGTTCAATCAATGCATGATAGTCATGACATGTGAAGCAAAAACACTATGTAAAATAATGTTGAATAATAAAAGACAGAATGTAAAATAATGTTTAACAAAAATAGGGAGGAGCCTACACAAAAATGTAAAATAATGCCACACGATAAGACAAAACAATCACAAATCCCCACCTAATCAAAGCCAAGCCCTAGCCATCAAGGACTGCGGACAAAACACCAGCCTATCCAACCATCAAACAACCAGGTAGGAGACCAAACCTGCAGGAAAAAACTGTCAAGCGCCAAAGTTTGGCAGCTGCCTTGGGTGGGAAAGGGAAAACAGTCCAGCCACGCCAACAAAGACTATAAATATAATATCAAAGAAGAAGCTCTGAGCCATGCGTTTGCTCACTTATATAAAGTATAAACAGTTGTTTAAACCCTTATTGGGATGATTATGATTGCACTCAGTAGTCAAACTACAGCCAGCCATATGGCGTTTTGATCCCCAAGAGACTTGTATATTCACGATTCTAAAACTGTTAGCCAATCGTATTGCTTTCACTCCTTGACTTTAAGAGATTTCATCATACTAGTTTTTAGCATGGCCCATGCAAAGACAATAAAGCTCTAAAACCATTAATGCAATAATGCTTAGAATCAGCATCATAATTGTAATGATAATAAAAGTGATTTGAAATCCCACTTTGTGTGTTTATGGAGATAATGATTAGAGCACTTCACTTCATGATCCTAATCATACTAACACAAAGCTTAATTGTCTTATTAGTTTTAAAACAACGTCTCGTATCTTTATCAATATTAACTAATTCACTTTTCAATACTGAAGATGAATGAAAATACCTTTGTAGAGAGAGTTGAAGTTTGGCCGGATCGGAGAGATCAAACTAGTGGAAGAAATCGGCATCGGCGAACGACAATGGCAACAATATGGGTTAGGGTGTGTTCTTGTTTAATTGTTTAGGTTGAGTTTATATAGGTAGAATAATTGTGTAATTAGGTAGAATATAGAGGGGTATTAGTAATTAGTGAAAAGTAAATAAATAAATAAATATATATGGGGCGGGGCGGGAGAAAGGCATCACCCACCCCTGCCCCATCCCTACGAACGGGGATTACAACACCTCCCACCCCCACCCTTATCCCCAGAAAAACATGGGCTTCCCCGCCCCATATTGTAATGCCCACTTTGAGGTACGTAATTTTGTATGCTTATTTTTGTCTTGGTGTTGTTTGCTGGCCCTAAGTTAAATTGATATGTTGCTATTGTTGATTGATTGCCCTTGGTTAAGTTTGTAGTTGCTTGGATGCCTTGAATTTCGTAAAGTCTTGGAGAATTATGGAAGTGCAGACTTCGCCGGGGCGAAGAAGAATTTTTGCCGCGGCGACGTACGCTCTGTATTTTTTTGCCGGGGTGAAGAGTCGGCTGATTTTTCTAGTGAAGTTTCTAGAGAATTTTCCTTAGGGGTGAAGTGACCATTCTACCCCTAATTAGCAGGAAAAGTGAGGAGTGAAATGCAAGGAAATTTCAAGTAGAATGCATTGGAGTGGGGTTGGATGTGTAAAGAATTAAAGGGTAAAGATGGAATTTCTAAGAAAGTGTAAAGGCAAAATGGGAAAGAGTGCTTATTTATATGAGATAAAAAGGGTTTAGCCTTAGAAACCCTCCCATTCTCTACACCCCATATATCACTTTCACTCTCCATTTCTCTCATCTCTTCATCCAGTTGCTAAAGGAAATTGAGGGCTTTTGGTTGGATTCTTATAAGGATCTGATCATAAGCATCAAGAGGTAAGGATTTTTATTCTAGACATAAGATTAAGTTGTGTTAATGTTGAATTCTTATTAAGTTTATGCTTAGGGTTTAAGAGGAAGAACAAGTTTAACAAAGATAAAGAGTTTCTTGTGAAACTACTCAAGCCAAAGGTAAGTAAATCCAACCCAAGCTAAGATTTAAGCAATTAACTAATTTGATATGCATGTATGTGCTTATGAGTTGAATTTGATTGGTAAGAATGTGATTATTGATGTGTAAATGACTCTTGATGAGTAGATTTGAGTCATGAGAAGTAGAGTTGAGATTGTGATAACCAAGTGAAGTTTGGTTACATGTAGAAAGAAATTAAGTAGAATATTTGAAGTGTTTTTCTTGGCCATGTTTAGATTTATTGTGGAGGAGTTTTGCTCCATGAATGAATGGTTAAAGAAAGAAGTAGAGATGTGTCAAAAATAGAATTAAAGTATGCATGCATGATGTTTGATGAAATGCCTAAGAGAAGCTTGTGCATAAGTAGAGAAACTTATTTTTGTGCTATATAGCATAATTGCATTGCATAATTGCACTTAAGAAAGAAACATAATCATGAGCCATCCATATGCATACATATGCATGAGAACTTAAAGAAAGAATAAAGAAAAAGAAAGAAAAGCACTAAAGAAATAAAGAAAGAAGAGTGCTAAAGAAGAGAAAAGAATAGGTTGTTGCGATGGGGAACCTGTGGGTGATAAGAAAATTTTTCCAAATACACGCCGCTTTAAGTGAGTGGCATAAGAAGAAGAAGAATTTGTACGACTCGTAAGAGTGTGTGTGAATGAGGGTTGTACCAAGAAGAATTCCTACATGCATGCCACTTTAATTGAGTGGCCTAAGAAGAAAGAAAGAATTTGTACAGTCCGCAAGAGTGCATGTAGATGAGGACTGTACTCACTCATACGGCTAGGGTTCCGAATTCCTGCATCAACTGAGTCCGATCGGCTAAGAATAAGAATAAGAAAGAATGAGGAAGCTTGAACAAGCAAAAAAAAGAAAAGAAAAACAAGAAAGAAAAGAGGAGCTTGAGCAAGCAAGAAAAGAAAGAAAAGAAAAGAATAGAAAGAAAATAAAAGAAATAGAATAAGAAATAGAAAAGAAGAAAGAAAATGCATTTCTATGCGTTTTTGCATTTGCATTTTATTCTTGCATATTACCATGATTTCTCTCATGGTTAGTGCGAATAGAAAGAAAGAACAGAGAGAAAGAAAGAACAGCGTGAATTAGAAAGAAAGAGCTATGAGAATTAGAAACTGAGAAAGAAAAGAGAAAGAACTAAGAAAGAATGAAGAAGAAAAGAATTAAGTAAAGAAAGAACCAAAGAGGAAGTTGCGGGGATAAAAGAGGTAAAGGATTTACTTACTGAGCATTTTTGTGCTTACCCTATTATTTTTCTATGTTTTGCAGGAAATAGGTGAGTAGCAGTCGGAAGGATGTTGACAAGCGGAGAGAAATGGCATACTATCCACCGTTGTAAAAGCTTGTATATATGTTATTTTGCTACTTACAGAATAATATATGTTTAGTAAAGAAAATTTTTGGGCCCATCTATTTTTCATGTTCTATATGTATACTTTTATCATAGTATATTTTTTAAGCATATGAGTAGAAAGAAGTTATTACACATACGGGGCAGGGCAGGATAGGTACCTGAAATTTTGAGGACTATTGCCATGCCTAGCTAGGCTGGTCTGAGTTTTAAAACCATGTTTGGTACAACACACTCAAAGTGGGGAGTTTATTATTAAAAAAAGGAGTAAAAGACATGTTCCCACCCAAGTTTAGCGAAATGCCAGTTTCTACCCTTGGTTTCATTTATTCTAGATTCCCACCCTTAATTAATCACCATCAGTGACTATTCAACTAAGGGTACGAATCTAGAAAACTGACTTGGGCCTTTTATCGAGCAAGTGATGGATGCGACTTTAGGCTTCAATTTCCTACAAACAGAAAGTTAGAAATGGCCAAAAACATACCCAAACAAACTACAACACAAGGAGAGTCTGTTGGTGTAGTTCGATGACGTTAGTTGCTTTCTGATCGAACAAAAAATGACCAAGAAGATACCCAAAATTGCAAGGTGGCAAGTGTGGCAGTGGTCAGAAAAGTGAGTGATGATAGCAAGTTTGGGTATGGGTTTTGTAGAAGAGGCCGTGGGAAGTCCAACAGTGGTCTCAAAAATTATTTTAAAGTTTGGGATTGGTCGAAAAAAGCCAAAATCCAACGGCTTGGGCAATGCTAACGTGAGCCGCTTCTTGCCTACTTTAAGCCCAAAGGAGCATCAATGCACATTAACGTGCTAACATGTGCCATGATACACTAAAAAGTTAAGATTAAGAAAACAATGTTAATTTAAGGGTGATAGTTAAAATAAATGAAACCAGGGGTGGGAACTTGCTCTTTCCCTAAACCATGGGTGGGAACAGTAGTTTACTCTGAAAAGAGTTTTTTGTGGCCTTGCATTGTCTTTTTAGTAACGGCAGTCACCTAACTGACAGGCACTGTAGTGTGATTATCAGAATATATTGGACTAAACAAACTTTCCAATGAATATAGATTTCAATTTGTAACAATTTCACCCCAGAATCTCGCCTTCCCTTCCCCAAAGACCCCAGCTCTCATATGCACTTATTCATCTCTGTTTCTCTTTCTTTCTCCTTCATGACGATAAATTATTCAAATTCAGAGCAATTTTCAAGCTAGAGCCGCAAACAAGCGCGAGCAAGAGCAGCAGCCGGTACGGTTTTATGGTTGCTGCGGCAGCGGCGGCGCGTGGGGCATTTTATGGTGGTGTGGTGCAAACTGAGAAGGGAATTGGCGGCTGGGAGTGGAGTGGTGACGTGTCAACTTAGGGTTTAATGCGCATAAAAGGATTTTTGTATGTGATTTTATTTTAAGATTTTATTTGTGCACACCAAGTTTGATGGAAGTTCTGTGAGAGGACAAAGAAGCAAAAGCAAAATGGCAAATAGCAGATATGAGTATGTGAAGTCTTTTGAAGTTGAAGATGAAGTTTTCATGCCCAACTTGATGGTTGTTAGAATCGACGGCCGGGATTTTCAGAGGTGGTATTCAATAAGATTTTATTTTATTTTATTTTATTTTATTTTTTTTTTTTGAAGAGAACAAACGAAACTTAAAAAATGAATGAACTTTCGATTGTATGTTAATTCTTATGAGGTTTCTTTACATGGGTTGTTTTCATTGTTAATGTTATAGCAGGTTTTCTCAAGTTCATGAGTTTGAGAAACCAAATGATGAGAGAGCTTTGAATTTGATGAACTCATGTGCAGTTGCAATGTTGGAGGAGTATCCAGATATAGTTTTTTCATATGGTTATAGTGACGAGTACAGGTAGGTGGCTCAACTTTTTGTTTATTTATTTATTTGTTTATTTATGTGGCGTTGTTCAGTTTTGGATGATTTGTACATTATTTGATTCTGTGTGTGTTACTCTGGTGCAATTTGCAGTTTTGTTTTCAAGAAGACGACAAAGTTTTACCAGAGGCGTGCCAGGTTTTAGTTCAACTTTGTTTAATTGTTTTAGTAATTGCATCTCATTTGACATGGTGTTATTGATGAAGTTGTAAGAAATTAAGTGGTAATGGGGGACAGCTGCAGAGGTGTAGCAAGAAAGTTATAATAGCTTGGGTTGTAAATATGAAGGAAAACTTAGAGATTTATAAAATCAAATCAAAACAATTGTATATGGCAAAAAAAATGAGAGAAAGAAAATTAAAGAAATAGAACTTCAAAGTCAATTCAAAGACACATAATACAAATGGATGAAATTTAGAGAAAGAAATCTATAAATTGAGATGCTTAAAATTTGATAGAAGTTTTACATGAGGATTCAAAGTTACTTTGATTTAAAGGAAGAAATCCAAGACATGAAAAATAAAGTTTTTCTGCAAGGTGGTTTGCTCTTTACATAATATAAGAGAGAAATTTATTAAAAAAAAACAAAAAAAAAAAAAAGAGTCACTATTTCATATTTGTCTAATAAAACATTTCTCCTTAAAAAATGCTGGAAACGTTTATTGAGAGGTTAGCCCTCATTAAGTTCAGCCACTGGATGTAGAGTATTGTAATGTTTAGGAAAAGGGAAACCATTTGAAGTATCTCAATATAATCTGCCAAAAAGATCAAAGCGCAATAAACCAGATCTGTTAAACACTGTGTACAGCCTTCGTATGTTCTATGGAGACTCTTTTGTTCCATTTCTTGTGTACAGCCTTCGTATCAGAGTTTGAGCCTCTCTTTTTTGTGTTCTCATATATTCTTGCTTATCATATGTTAATCTTTACCTTAGGTGATATTTGTACTACTTCGTTTGTTTTGTGCTTTTCTTGTGTATGTATGCCTTTGTAAGAGTGTTTTTGTCTCAATTTTGTGTTCTTTTACATATTTGCTAACTGAAAAATTAGATAAACTCAATTCTATCTTACATATGCATAAGTTAATATACTGTCATTCTGAACGTTTTCTAGAGAGGTGAAAGTGAAAGTAGGCATGCATGTGAAGTATTGGAAGCGTACCTACATTGATATTTTCCTTTTCTTTGTAATGGGAAGCTTAAGATTAGGAGTACCTAGGAACTCTTCCGTGCTGCTTGGAATGGATGATTTAATATGACTGCAGAATTTAGAAATACATTTATCAGTTTCCTATTCTAATGCATAAAAATGTTTACATGCAGGCTTTCATATGAGCCATTTAGATTTTCTCCCTTGATGGAATTGTTTATCATTTATATGCTTCTTGAAATTGAATATGCAGCAAAATTCTATCCCTCACAGCATCATTCTTCACTTCTATGTATGTCACAAAATGGAAAGAGTTCTTCCCTCAGGAGAAGTTGAGATATGCCCCTTCATTCCATTCTCGAGTCATAAGTTGTGCATCAATAGAGGTTCTTCAAACATACCTTGCATGGAGACAAAATGATTGTAAGTCCTTTTATACAGCAGGACTTAAACAAACCATTTTTTGATACCATTGCTTTTTTTTTTTTTTTTTTTTTTTTTTTAAATTACTTGAATCTGATGGTACTAAACTCATGCTTGGTTTGGCAGGTCATACGAATAACCAATATAGCACTTGTCTTTGGATGCTGATTAAAAGTGGAAAGACTGAAAAGGAAGCAGAAGAAATTCTGAAGGTGCTAATTTTAGATTCTGCTTGTGCTTGTGTGCTTGTCTTTGTATATTATTTATTTTGATAGAAATATAATTGTCACAGTCTTGTGCATACATATATGTGGGTGGTGTGTGTGTATCAAACCCCGGTGTTGATTTTTGCTTATCCTATGTCTTTCGACTCCGCAGGGAACTCAAAAACAAGATAAAAATGAGCTTCTTTTTCAGCAGTTTGGTATCAACTACAAAAATCTTCCTGAATTATTTCGTCGGGGATCTTGTGTTTTCAAGACAGAGGTAATCCATCCATCTATTTATGTAGAATTATGTTACTGATTATCATAAAGGCTCGGTGAATTTGTTTCTTGGAGATTCCACTGCATTGGAATTTTTGTGCTTACAATTTATCGGTCATAAATTTTGCTGTTTTTTAATTCAAACATGAGAGGGGTACAAATGAATCTGCAATTCACTGAGGATCAACTTGGGAAAATGAAGCAATTTTAGATTGACTTTCCAAAGTGAATTAGTTGGGTGGACAAGAGAAGTAATACTGGACAAGTATTACACTGCCTTGCATATGAATTCTAATTTCCTTTTTTCTTCAACAGGTGGAAGATATTATTAAATATCACGAGGATGGCACTCCTGTCAAAAGACTGCGGAGAAAGCCGAGGATAGTTCACTCGGAGAATATAGCTGGTAGACACTTTTGGAGTGAGCATCCATGTCTTCTTAAGGAGTTGGGGTGTTTTGAAGAGAATGTTGGCAAAATTAAACCAGATTATGTTAGGTCCTTTCTATTTGAAAACAAATTGATGCCATATGCATGGATCGTAATTAGAATTGATGGCTGCCATTTTCACAGGTAAAGCTTTGTTGACAAAGCAATATCTCCTTCTTGATATGTTGAGTTTCATTACAAAAAGTAAATATAAGATGATACTTTATGTTAATTTATTCATCGAGTATATTTTGAAAAATCAAGACAACTCATTCAAGTAGAAGTGCCTGTTGCTGTTATACTTAATAATTGACAATAGAATTGGATTATAAATTATGAAGTAAACTTATTTTGAGTGTAGATTTACTCTCAAAATTCGGAGAAGTCACTATGTAATAAATGTAAAATTTAAGTGCATAAAATCTACTAACTATTCCTGTCTCTGTGAATGGATTACTATTGCATGTACCATTTTGGTCTCAAACTTGTAATACATGGGATTTTGTTGTTTGTTTACCCACCTAACATGCTGCAAACAGTAGTCAAGACTTTTTATGGTTCTTGATAGATTCTCTGAAGTTCATGAATTTGAGAAGCCCAACGATGAGAAAGCTCTGAACCTTATGAATTCATGTGCAGTGGCTGTTCTAGAAGAGTTTCAAGATATTACCTTTGCTTATGGGGTTAGTGATGAGTACAGGTATCTGATATGTTTTTATTATATTTTATGTTGGCTCTGCTTAATGCTTCTACCAATATTTAATCCCTTCATTGTTGTTATCACTTCCAGCTTTATTTTGAAGAGGGAATCTCCGTTTTTTCAAAGGCGAGCAAGGTTTGCCCTGTCTTTCCCATACAATTTTCGGCAATTCCAACATTTTCACATCTGATTTATGGCTACTTCTTGAAAAAGTTGTTTTTGGAGAGATCTTCTTCATGGAAATCTTCTGTATGATGAAACTCAACTCTTATTGATGTTTGTCACATGTATTGGTAGTGGAAAAACTATGGTAATTTTAGTCCATGCTCCCAGTAATACAGTAATACTCAAATGGAGGAGTGATTTGTGGTTTATCTTTGCATAAAACATAGCTTTTTCATATGCCAAATATGTCTAGTTTTGTCTAGAAACATTTGTCCAAGTATTTAGGTTCCAATTATAGATTTTGATAAAGAAATATATATATTTCTTCTTTAAAAACAAAAAAGATGAATGTGTAGAGTAAATTTTCTTGTGAAAACCCATTTGATTTATGTCACCTACCATCTCTTTTTGGCTATAGAAAGCACACTTGTGCTGCATACTCTCTCTGATTCATTAAGGGAATTATGTCAAACATGATATCATCATTGCATGCATATGTATTACTTGATGAGCATATTATTTTTAACGTTAAACTCATTCTCAGTATAATCGTTGCAGTGAAATAGTGTCTGTCATTGTTTCCTTCTTCACTTCTATGTATGTATTGAAATGGAAGGAATTCTTCCCACAGAATGATTTGAAGTACCCTCCCTCTTTTGATGGACGAGCTGTCTGCTATCCATCATCTGATATTATTCGAGATTATCTGGCATGGAGACAAGTTGATTGTGAGTATTCTTTCTTTATTTATTTTTCGGGAGGATGCTTAAAATTTTGGAGGTTTTATTTTATCAATGAATTAATCTGTTTTTTATTTTTTTTTTTCTAAAAATAAATAATGTCTTCAAGTTTGAGTTTTATTTTTTGAATACTGTTATGAACTTTCTGGTAATTCACGTGATTCACAAAAATAATTGATTTACAGGCCACATCAATAATCAGTATAATACATGTTTCTGGATGCTTGTGAAGTCTGGTAAAAGCAAAAGTGAAGCTCAAGGTTGCTTAAAGGTGGTTGTTTCTTTTCATGCTATGATAGCAGGAATTGTTCTTCATTAAATATCACCTTACTGAATGTATCATATTTACCTATGTGGGGTTCTTATACATATTGATTTTGTTTTGGCTTCAAAATTCGAATTCTATATCCATTTAACATGTTATGTATGCTTTTGCACTGGTGTTTTACTTTTTCTCCTTTTTTTTAATTCCTATTGCTTGTATTATGAGGTTGAGAATAGAGAAGCACTTTCATTCATGCATGTATGTGGTTGGCTGTAATGTTAATATAGATGGATTGTTGCTATACTGAATTACTGTCAATACTTACAGAGATCATGGGTCTCTGTTTGAGTCCTTTATCAGTTTTTTCTCTCTCTCTCTCGCCCCCCACCCCCACCCCCCCTCCAAAATAAATAAATAAATAAATAAAAATATTTTCTGTCCTTAATTATTTCAATGCTACTTAGTATAACATTGATGTCATGCATGTAGGAGCCTTATTGAAATCAATGGCTAAGTGAGAGGCGTTTACATGAAGTGTCTCAATTAATTTGTTTTGATTTTTATTTTTCCTTCCTTGCAGGGTACTCAAGCACGGGAGAAGAATGAACTGCTTTTGCAGAAATTCAGTATTGACTACAACAAATTACCAGTGATATTCCGTCAGGGCTCATCTATATTTCGAATTGAGGTTTACTTATTCTCCTAACTGAAACACAGTTCAATATTTATGTAATATACAGAGTCTGAAACATGATAAGATTATTGTGAATGGTTGAGTGAAAAATAGAATATATATGGGTTAAATATTTTGCCTGTTTATTTCAATCCTAGCCTTCGATTCCAGCCCTGGCCTTAACTTATAAGCCACTTGCTCCATATTTAAGCTGGCTTTTTCCTTTCTTATTCCAAACTTCGGTCTTTCATCTTAACAGCGGTCATTATCTGATGGGTGCTACACGGAGCTACTAATGAAAACTATTGACGAGATATTGGCTATTTCAGTGCTTGCTGCAATGGTTATACCTAAATTGTTTGTTTGAAGGCTAGATCTACATTATATTCAAAAACAACAAAAGCTCTTTAATTTCTTTATGCACTTTCCAGCTTGTCCTTTGTTATAGACTTTTCTCCCATACCCATTTGATGTACATAGTTTGAAAGATCACGTTGAATTTGTTGTCCTCACTTGGGTAGAGACGATGCATATTATTTCTAATGAGTCAGGTAGTGATTCCTAGAGTAGTTTCCCTTGATATATTTAACTTCTCAGGCTGATAGATTCATATTGTCTGCAGACAGAGAAGACTACACCGTTTGAGAATGGAGAAAAGCTACAGAGTGAAGTGATTGTATCACACTGTAATATAATTGAGCAAAGCTTTTGGAGAACACACCCGAGCATCCTTGACGAAGAGCCCCCTATAATATGAAGTAACAACAGGTCACAGCTTTTCTTCTCATCTTGTTGCTTCTCTTCTTCTGTCTTATTTATGAAATTACTATTGATCTCTGTAAAACAATTTAGAGACTAGAAACTCTGGGATCTTTCTTGCTTTCGTTACATCGAAGGCTTTAGTTTCCGATGCTTAGGAAGTTTAGAAGTTGCCCTGTTCTTAGGTCGCATCTCTTATATTTATCTATTCTACACTCATTTTGCATGATTTTGGTTGGAATTCCCTAGTTATGAACTTAACATCAGATGTTATGCTACTCAAAACAATGAAATCACGCTCACAGTCGCAATCTCGAGATCTTTTTTTGTTATTCTCTTTCCCATGTTCAGTTTCATGCAAAAATGAGTGCAAAAGTTAAATGGCATCAGTGTTGAATTTTCTGATGCAAAGTTCAACTGTCTTGTGTTTCCTGATTGGGATGTTATCAATTGGAGTGATTTTTTTTTTTTTCCTTCTGAATTTCAAGATACCTAGGAAATGGGCAATTAACGATAAAATTTCATATTCTGTAATTAAAAGTGGAATCTGAAACATGTTCATGTCTTCAACTGTTGCGTTTTTCGTAATTTTTTTTTTTTTTTTTTTTGTTCGAGCTTACGTATTGAAGTACAAGATTCGATCTTAAGACCTTTTTACGATATTAAGAGATCCAATCAACTAAACTAATTACTGCCTAAGATCAGCGTAAACTCAATCATACAAGAGGATCGAAGTTGCTTAAATTTTTTACCATTTAGCAACAATCAGAATATAAATGATCACTTAACCATTTACAATTGCATGAATTGTTTTACTTAAAAATAATCCAACTCTTCTCCTCTCGTTTTGGTTTAAAATTGTCACGTTTATGAAACGCCTTTCTCGTACACCAGATGTTCTGGATGATAATGGGTATGCATAAAATTCGATAAAGATGAGTGATTACAAATTAGATCAATTTATCTTTAATGATGTTAAATATCTGTATTCAGAAATTTCAATTTAATATATTTATTAGTATTTATTTAAAAGACAACCATGGTAGCACTAGTGGTCTAGTGGTAGAATAGTACCCTGCCACGGTACAGACCCGGGTTCGATTCCCGGCTGGTGCATTTTTTGCTTTTATCTGATTTTGAGTTAATATGAAAGAAATCTCCAATATTCGTGAGTTCGTAATTCTTTGGGTTAATATGAAAGAAATCCAACTTTTGCAATAAGTTATTTATTTTTTGAATATTTGTTATTTTTTAATTTTTTCTAACTTTTATAAAATTTTTAGTTTATATTTTTCTCAAGGGAGAACAACATTTTCCCACCCAAGGTTTAGCGAAATGACACTTTCCGACTTGTCAAGTTTCAAAATGACACTTTCCAACCCTTCGTCAGATTCTATTCGTGTTTTCTGTTAATATTTGATTGAAAAGACAAACATGTTTTTAAATAGTTTATTTCTTAATTAGTTTATTATAAATTAAAATTTAGTTAAGTCAGAGTTTTTGCTCGATTATTTATAAGTTCAAGTGTAAAGATATTTTTTTTCCTTTATTTTTTCAATAACTTAAGAATATTGATTTTCTATGTTAAAGTAAAAATAAAAACATTATATTATGAAAAACATTATAAATTTAGTAGATTATTGAATAATGGTGGATGAAATATTGACAACATTATAAATAAATAAATATTAAGGTTATTTAACTTTAAACAATTCCATAGTATTTCTCCTAACTTTTTAGGTGGGGTTAACTATTTTTTCTTTTTTGATTTTTTAATATTTGACTTTTTGGCTAATTAAAAAATAATAAAAAATTTATAAAGTCAAATATTTAAATGTATTTTCGTTCTTTCAATAAAATATTAATGGAAAACATAACAGAATCTAATGAAGGGTGGGAAAGTGCCGTTTCATCAAACCTTGGGCAGGAAAATGTTGTTCTCCCCTTTCTCGATGATGATCTTCAAGTTCGAGACCCCAACTTTCTTGAGAGCCCAAAGTAAGGTGTCGTAGTTTGCGGTTGTGGTTAGCTTTGACTTCTCGATGATGATCTTCAATTATTTGGGTTCAGTTTGTAATACCTTTCATGTTGTTATTGACTCTGCTACATACCCTTTGTCTGAATCCCTTTATCATGCCTGCCATATCTCTAAGAACCTGTTGATAATTTCTTCTTGAACTTGTCAATGTTGACTTTTGTCCACACCTCATTTTAGGCTGAATCCATGGTGGCTGAATGGAAAGAGTTCCTTTGGGATGTCACTGAAGAGAGAATTGCTTTATGGCGCCACTGTCAGACACTGTTCATCAGATATGCATTCCCTCCTTTACAGGTACGTTTGTTTTGTGATAGCAACATTCGCCTATCAGAATCATCATTCTGGCAACTTGCGTAGTGCTTAGACAATCTACATTCAGGTGCTCGCATTGCTACCCATCCAAATGCAATGAGGGATATGCACTACATTAACAAATGGATCAAAAAAAATTAACTAGGCCCAAACTAATTGATGCAATTAATCTCAAATTAATGGGCCTTATTCATATGTAGACCCAAACCAATTGATGAAGGAACCCAAATTACTATTTATTTATTTATTTATTTTTTATTATATATATATATATATATATTTTTTTTTTGTGTAAGTAAACTTTTCATAGAAAGGGAGAATGAATAGGACTGTGCAAAAAAAACTGGTAGCCGAACCGAATCCAAATTTTCGGGTACTCAAAAATTCGGATTGGTTTCGGGTAATTTTTATAAGATACTCGAATTTTTGGTTCGGGTATCAGTTATTTAATTTTAGAAAACCTGATACCCGGTTTTATTAAATAAAATAAATAAATAAAAAACGTAGACTTTCAATTTTCAAAGGCAAAACACAAAACCGCAAAAGCCCCAAATCTGAAACAAATCTGAAATCCCTTATGCCCTAAAACTAAAACTCGTCACTGCGTCAACTTCAATACTCAACTCAAGTCCTGTAGGACCTACACACAGGCGCATAGCCGCATTCAAACTCATCTCTCTCACTTTCAAATTCAGATTCTCGCCTTCTCCAGTCTATTATTATCTCTCTTCCATTATGTGTGTTGTTTGAAATTGAAATAGAAATAGGGTTGGTTAATGTGACCCATGCAATATGTCAGGTGATTTCACATTTTCCATTGCAAAGAGAAGCACACGCAAGTCATGTGAAACTTCACATGCTTTTGGAGAAGGTGATAGTGGAGGTTTCCCATGCTTTTTCTTTAAATTTTTCTACCAACTGCAGCTTTTCTTTTCTATTCAAATGCCTTCAATCAATTCATTCAATAAAAGCGAAAGCATGAAAGAAAGAAAAAAATCAAATTCTTGAATGAATGAGTAGTATGAATAAACAAAACTGCCTTTTTTCAGAAATGAATTTCAAAGCTGCTGTGTAATTTTAAATTTTTAATCAAATTCGGGTCATAAATCGGATACCCAGTTTGTGACCCGAATTTTCGGGTACCCGTAAAACTGGGTCGGTTAGTGGGTACCTTTTTAGAGGTACCCAAATTTTCAGGTACCCGGTTTTCGGTTAAAACCGGAGCGGGTACCCGGTTTTGCACAGCCCTAAGAATGAATGTACAAGAAGCTTAAAAACCGACCAACCTACCTCAGGACAAGCCCTGGGTTAGGAGTAAAAGAATGACACTATCAAGACAACTCTTAATCTTTTTTTTTTTTTTTTTTTTCTCATTTCTCTTCTCAAAGAACTGGAACCAAACAGAGACTAAAGAATACAAAGAAATCCACCTACCACAAGACATGCCCTAGGTTAGGTTCATTAGTTTCCAAAAAACAAAAACCTCCCCAACTCTTCGCAATAGATTGCATACCAAAGGGCGGTAACCTTCGAGGCTATACAACCCATCCACCCCCAAAAGTCAAACCAACAAGAACATTCGGATCAAAGCATCCACCCTAGGAGGAATGCAACTAGCACCCCCCAACCACATGCCTCCCCAAAGAATGAAGTCAAACCTCCTCAAGAGCAAGGTACTGAGAGCGCTTTCGAAACCACGCATCACCTTTACTCAAATGCCTTAGAACCCACGAATATAGAATTAGGTAGCACCAAATTATGAGCAAGCCTTTCATTAAATGGGGACTTCTTCACTTTGGAAAGCTCCATTGTCCTCCCCCTCACAATCCGCTTAATCATATTCTCTAATGTTATGGCATCAAGGCAATCACGCCCACAGTGTCTATTATTTCTCTCTCGCCAAATATGGTAAACAATAGCTCCTAGACAAAGTCTACTAATGACATACTTGAGCTTTTTAGGTTTCCATCTATAAGATATATGGCTAATATAATCTTGCCAAGGTTGGACCACATAACCCAAGTGACACACATCAAGAAGCCGACACCAAATGTTTCTAATGAAGTTACAAGAGAAGAAGAGATTATCCAAGGATTCCATATTACAATTACAGAAACAACAAGATCCAGTTGAAGTAATTCCATAACTTACCAATTCGTCCCTTGTTTGCATTCGACCTTTAATGGCAAGCCATAAGATGAAAGAGTTCTGAGGGATAGCCCTTGGAAACCAAACAAGATGATGCCAATCCACCTGATCCTTATGAGTTCTAGTAACTTCCCAAGCTGTTTTGATTGTAAAAGAATCTGACGGGTTCAAATCCCACCTAACTCTATCATCCCTACCCAAAGGGATGAAGTCCACCGAATCTTTAATTTCCATAAGAGCCAAGGATAATAGGAAAGACCTTCTTGCCACCGGCCATTTCCATCTAGTTCCATCACAAATCTCACCAACCTTAGCATAATAGGAAAGACCCGAGTCATGAACAATCCTAGAGTCGTGCCCTTGCACTAAAGGCCCTTTTGGGTGCCAATTATCATGCCACAAGTGAATATTTTCCCCATTTCCGACAATGTAGTGGATTCTATTCCTAACTTCACTTCAAATTTCAAAACGCTCTTCCAAGCCCATGAGGCATTGCATGGGATTGAGATATCCCAAAAGCTTTTCTTACCAATCAAATAGTTTTTAACCCAATTAGCCCACCCCGAATCACCTTTAGCTTAGGCAAGGTTCTACACATTCTCATCATTGCTGCTTGATTCCATTTTTTGCTTTTTAAAATGTCGAGACCTCCCTCTTCCTTAGGAACACACACCTCCTCCCAATTCACCTTGGCTTTAGTACTCTTTATCTCCGACCCTAACCAAAGGAAGTCTCTCAACTTAGAGTCAATTTCACTATGAAAAGGATGGATTTAATAAGCATAACTCTACCCGCATAATAGAGAAAATTACTATTCCATTAATTAATCTTGCCAAGATTTTGTCCAATAGAGGTTTACAATTCGAGTACCTAATCATCTTAGTGATAAGAGGAACACCAAGATACTTCATTGGAAGTTTGCCTTCTTCGAACCA